TTGTGTGGACTAGAAATGAATTCACATCTTCACAGATTCTGTTTCATCACTCTCTGTGAATTCTTGTGAGTGTTCACTATTCATTCTGGTTTTGAATATTGCTGCCACATTGCTTCTGCTATATATTTAGAGATCCTTGATAAAATCCAAAGAAAAATCTGCAATATCATTGGTCCTCATCTGGCAATATCAGCTTCAATTGCTTTCCAGATGCCATAATGTAGCTTCCCTGTGTGACATTGTGGCAGCAGGAAATTATTTTCATGTTAATTGTTCTGATGAACTTTCTTATATGATGCCTGAACTTTATGAATTAAACTGCAGTACTAGATTGGCAGTTAGGTCTCATCATTTTATAGTTCAAATGTTTAGATGCAACCCTAAGTTCTATGCTAAAAGTTTCTTTTCTCACACTTTTCACTCATGAAACCTTTTACCAGCTTCTTGCTTTTTAGTCAAGTTTGATCTTCAAAAATTTAAATGCAATGTTGATTGTTATTTTCTGTTTTCTTTATTGTTTTCTTTTATTGTTTTTGCTCCTTAATAATGTTAATCTTTTCTTATATTCTTTCACACTCAGTAATCCCTTGTGTCTTAGTGGCTTTATTTCCTTGCTTGGAGTGAAATAATTAAAAAAAGGATAGTGGAATCCAAGGCATGAGAGTGCTATCTACATTGCTATTTAACCCAGAATTGTGGGGCCTACAAATGAATTCATACCATCACAGGTTCTGTTTCTTATTTGTGAATCGCAATAACTTCTTGGGAAAGACACGGGAATGCTTTCTCATTGCCTTGTCCATGGTTTAAAATTCAGTATTGTCTTTCTCCTAGACTAAGTGCCATATAAGGCTTGAAAGCCCAATCTACCCTAGTGAAATTGGTATGAAAGCAGAGATGACATTAACCCTGAATCTATCATAAATATTCAGGATGTAGAATTAGTAGATATCAGGCACTTCAAATACTTTCATGTATGGATCAGTTACAACAAATTTAGTATAGAAGATAAGGAAATTGAATGTAGAATAGACTGTACTGTTAAATAATACTTTAGCAGGCTATTACCTTTTAGAGAAGTGTATTTCTGCTCTGACTTCCTCAGTTTGACTTTTGAAGTCAGATACAAGGCAAAACAAAGGAAGTCAATTTTGATTGGCTGAACTAGCACAGGAATGATAGATAGAGAAACGGTTTTTCTTACATGTCAAAGAATGTAGACGTGTTTCCTCTTTGTATCTGGGAAGTGGCTTCCCAGTGGGTGGGAGAGCAACCCCACTGGATAGTTAGAAATGTACATGTCGACGTGAATAAAATAGTTCAAGTTATCTTTTATCACCAAACCAAAATGACTAGAGATTGCCTGCTGTAATTTTATTATTTTCCCAAGACCAATAGCCCCACCATCGGGCTATAAAACAGTACTAAAGAGAGTTTTGCCTAAAACTGCAAATTGAAACAGAACTAAAACAATAAAATGAAAGCTCAAATCATATGATTAAATAGTCTTGTCAGATCAAAACTTTCCTATGGATATTATTCATGGTACTAAACTCATTCAGAAATATCTAAACTGTCAGCTGTATACAAACACATTCAATGCTTAAAAATGGCTTTGAACAAGTGAAGCCTCTAGGTTTTGGTGAAGATCATCCTTCTTTGAACATTGCTGACTGGCACTACCAAATCACAATCAAAAAACTGTACCAAATATCAGAACTCATATCAGTTGATAACTTTCAACAGCAACTACTTAAATGGGCATATAACATGAAGAGAAAATAATGACATAATCAAGATATTAACATTCAAGACTACTTCAAACAAAAGGTTACAAAGGAAATCCCCATTAATATTCGAAAGAATGATAATAGCTACTGGTTTTGAGAAATCTCTTTTCCTAAGAAATGGTTCTAAGAGAAAGATTTTATAAATTTCAACCAAAGTAGTACTAGATGCTCGGTCAAAAAAAAAAAAACACACCAGATATCGACATTACCTTTTAACCATGAGCTGCATGGATGAGAAATGAATTCATACCTTTCCCAAACATTTTATTTTCAATTTAAATTTTTTATTATTAGATAATGTATTGTCAGACATTATTATTAATTTTTGATTAGCATTTATTATCATTTTCATTTGTTATTAGAGGAAATATTGTCAAACATTATTATTTTGTTTTGACTAGCATTTATTATCATTTTCATTTGTTATTAGAGGAAATATTGTCAAACATTATTTTGTTTTGACTAGCATTTATTATCATTTTCATTTGTTATTAGAGGAAATATTGTCAAACATTATTATTTTGTTTTGACTAGCATTTATTATCATTTTCATTTGTTATTAGGAAATATTGTCAAACATTATTATTTTGTTTTGACTAGCATTTATTATCATTTTCATTTGTTATTAGAGGAAATATTGTCAAACATTATTATTTTGTTTTGACTAGCATTTATTATCATTTTCATTTGTTATTAGAGGAAATATTGTCAAACATTATTATTTTGTTTTGACTAGCATTTATTATCATTTTCATTTTTTATTAGAGGAAATATTGTAAAACATAATTGTTTATTTTATTGATAGTTTACTTTCTTCTACATTTTTTATTAAGTTCTTTTGTTAGGCTACTGCCATTAGATTAACACCAAAACAGCCATGTTTGACATGTTCGTCCTCCAATGATCCCAGAATTAAATATATATGATTAGAAATGATTAAATTATGATCACAATTCAAAATAATGTTAAAATGCAAAAAAAAACAAAAAAAAAATAACCCGATATTTAAGTATGGATGAATCATCAATTTAATATTATGAGAGCAACTTAAGATGAAATCAGAGAGTATATAAGATCAAATTTTATCATAGATGGAAAACATGAAGAAGGAGAGGATATAAGATCAGATCTAATTTTATCGTAACAGGTCAAGATGAAAGACGAGAGGATTTAATTTTATCATAGCAGAAAGAGGAGAGAATCTATGATCTAATTTTATCATTGCTGGTAAAGGTCAGAGGGAAGAGAATGTAAGATCTATTATAAATACACACACACACACACACATATATATATATATATGATAAAAATAAGTACTCAATATCATATATAAAAGTGAAATGTGGATTTTAACATCGAGTGGCGACAGTCTGTTTCATGTGTGAACGCAATCTCCAGACCATGTGTGTTGTGTGGTGGCTTTACTATTTATAAATGCTGGTGAAGGGGGCATTATAGGTAGAAATGCACTGTCGACACTCAGTGTTGTCCTCAATCCAAACTAACCATTAGAACAATACAATAAATGACCCAAAATGCATAACTAACTTGTATATATAAATGGTGAAGCAAAAGCTCAATGCATATGGCCTGATGATTGTATATAAGAATGAAAAAGACTGTTAATGCTGTGTTCTATAGCCTTAGATGACAACTGGTTGAGGAGAAGGACAACTCTGAATTCAAAACCTGCGGAGGGTCATTTGGGGACCTTGTGGCACGTAGTGCGCCAAGTCTCTGTATTTGGCCCTTCAAAAAGTGTTGTTGGTTCTACACAAAGCTTTCACCACTATAATCAAATCATATGTGCTGGTGTCTGAGCTGTCGGTTAGTCGGAACTGAGCTTCTTGACCCTCATACGTCAAATACAACGGGAGAGTCAACCATGTACATAAGAAACAAACAACCAGCCAAGCAGGGGCTTTCTGATCTTTGGGTGTTTGTTCAGTAATTTTATTTTTTGTCTTTCTTATCCTAAAAAATCCCAATGCAGTTTCTTTGTTTACAGGTTTGTCTTTCATTCTGACCTGAAGATGTGTCCCGTTGGCAAACACATCAGTTAAAATCTCTTCTACTTTGTCTCATCATATATACTTTTTTGAGCATATGCTATTATATATATATATATATATATATATATATATATATATATATATATATATATACACACACATTAGAGCAGTGGTTTGAATTCCAGTTGAATCCATTACATTCATTTATGTGCTAATACACTTGGGAAAGGTATAAAGATATTAATCTTCTTTTCCCTCCACCTATGGGTAAATGACAGGACAGACTGGGTTCTATAGCCTTGGATGGCAACTGGTCTTGGAGAAGGATAACTCCGAATTCAAAATCTGTGGAGTGTCATTTGGGGACCTTGTGGCATGTAGTGGACCAGGTCTCTGTATTCGGCCCTTCAAAAAGTGTGGTTGGTTCTGCACAAAGCCTTCACTATAATCAAATTATATGTGCTGGTGTCTGGGCTCTCAGTTACTAGGAACTGAGCTGCTTAACCTCATATGTTGAATATGATGGGAGAGTTCATCATATATATATATATATGTAAAACAAGCAAACAAACAACCAGCCAAGCAAGGACTTTCTGATCTCTGGGCATTTGTTCAGTAATTTTATTTTTTGTCTTTCTTATTCTGAAAAATATCAATTCAGTTTCCTTATGTACAGGTTTGTCTTTCATTCAAACCTGAAGAAGCGTCATGTTGGCAAACACATCGGTTCAAAGCTTTTCCACTTTGTCTCATCATATATACTTTTTTGTGGGTATACTATTATATATATATATATATATACACACTATTTGTCAATATCAAGCAAGAAATATGATCAACAAATATAAATTGATTGGCATGACCTGATGAGTTGCTTGCCAAACCTCAGTCAACCCACTTGACTGTACATATTCTTACTCACAGTGGAACATCAGAAAATTAATTCGGTTGAGTGGTCTCATCAACCGGAGTTTATATGCTTAAAGGAGGGAAGGAGTGGGACACAGCACTAAGCTATGCCCTTTGTCATACTCTCCAAAAAGGTTAGTTAAAAAAAAAAACATATATGAAAAAACAAACAAAAATCTTAAAGAATCCATGATTGAATTAATTTCATTCCAGCTGTGTCTAAGATCTTACGCCAAGGAATTCAGTTCCAGATGAAAATTAACTTTGGTCTAATTGCCTATCAACTCTT